CCACTGCATTCATAAGTATTTTCTTGAAGATAGAATGCCTTTAGTTGAAAATAGCATAATCTTTTTTTTTAAGATAATGGATTACATTTTTGTACACCAAATGTGCGGCACATCATAGAAAGCAGATCTAACACAATCTCTTTCTAACAGTCATAGAATGTAGGTGATTTTAAAGCAACAAGATACTAGGAGTTTATCGAAGCTTTAGTGTAGATGAATAAGAAGCTAAGTTTTCTTTATAATAGAGCAAAACCACAATTTCAATCACATTCTAAGGCCACGCGCCTAAAATAAAACGTCTCATTTGAATGAACTTGAATTGATAAAATTTGAGCATAAAAATTTTATTCCCTTATACACAGCGCATCATAATGTATAAAGCTAAAAGTTGGTGCTCCCTACACAAATCAAGTTATGCTCATCATTATTCTTATAATTGCATTTATTTATTAATTAAAAATAGTCTGAAAAATCCAAATTAACATAGATAATAGTTTTTGGTACACTTTTATGACGAAGCAGCATGTTCAACTTATGACACATCGATTTGATAACGTTTAAATGTTTATACAAAACTCGTTTTCTCAAATGATACTTTCTAAATGAAACATTTTCGATTTTCTTTACACGAATACTATTGGTGGTAATAAGCGTTTGTGCAATGCGCATCTTTATGACCACCTGTTGACATGTTTGACTTTTTTCCTAAGTTTTTCACTAAAAGAGTTTATGGTACTCTAGATCCTTCTGAAAAACATTTGTATATTGACTGATTAGATAACTAATTCCTACTATCATGTTATTTTTCGAAATAGTATAATGTACTTTCATCAGTGAAAAATTGATAAAATCAGTTATGACTAAAATATAGTGTTCTCTTCTTCTATGTTGCTTTCTTTATAAGCAGCAAAGTTATTGCTTATTATTGACAATCGTTCATTCCGTTTTCTTGCCCATGGTTACAGCAATACCTATGCTCAAATATAATATAGAAAACACTGGTTTTCAAAACTTCATGTGAAAGCGTAAGACGAACATCAAATATGAGGGGTGTGGGTGTGGGTGTGGGTGTGGGTTTGGGCAAATAGAAAATTCAGACTTACACCAACACCCACACCCACCCAATAATGCGTCATTTGTTGGTAGACCAGGAATCAAGGGGGAAAAAGCTCATTCCGAACCATTCGAATGGTTAGGATTGGATCGGAATGGATTGGAATGGTCCGAAATGGATTGGGATGGATCGAAATGGCCAAATGAGTTTTTTTCTCTTGCCATGAATGCTAGTCAATGGAATCGTACGTAATGCATCAAATAATATGGTACTAGCTGCATCACCCGACGATGCACGACGAATTTTAAGTTCATTTTTAAGTCGAATACTGTGAAATCGATTTGGATCAGGTACATGAGAATGGTCTGATGGTGATTTAATGAACACTTTCATCTGGATATTCGTATGACAACGACCTAGAAAAAACATCAATCACAGATAAAAGATTAGATTTAACGATTTATACCTACTTCTACAATTTCGATCTTCACAACGAAAAATACATTTTTCTTCTGTTATTCGATGTTGAGTGTATACATATCCCGAAAAATATATCATTGGATTTCCTCGAGAGCACTTTAATACCTTAATTGATTCCATTCTTTAAACTATTACGTGAATTTGTTCGAGATGAGAACAACTAGTAATACACTTGATCAAATGAAAAAAAAAAGAAATTAATTTGGACAAATGTGTTGAATGGGGAAACGGCATCTATTCATTCTTGATTGGTGTTTTAAAATCGCGACGATTCACTATTCACAACGATAAGTATATATACAATACATGTTCTTGAATAACTGTAAAGATTGATCTTAGTAAAATTATAAGTTCAAATGAAGATGGGACGAAATGTAACTGGGACGAATATTAAGGGGACGAAATGTAAATGGGCGAATTGTTATTGGGACGAATTGTATGGGACGAAAAATAGGGGACGAAATGTCACGTACCGAAATGAGTGACCACCGTTTTAAGAATGTTGCGCAAGGTAAAATGGACAAACAACTCGCTCAAATGCTGACAGTGTTATACTTATAACTGTTGAACAAATCGAGATAAAAATGTCGGCCTTTCGTTGATTTGTAGCCCGTCAGTCGATGATTCCAGTGCACTCCTCAAAATTCAGAATTCATTTTATTTCTATGGAACAACAGTCTATTCTTTCAAGATGACTATGAAATACCACTGACTCATGAACTAAATATCAACAATTTTATATGGGTAGATGCGCTGACAAAGCCACTTTCAAACGACATCAACCCGAACTCGATAGGTGGTTGTGATAAAAGTTATTAAAAAAATATCCACCCGACTTCTTCTTCGAAATGGGCATTAGAAGATATGTGGATATGGAATACATCACTATAAATCACAAAATTTAGAGATTTGGGGGTTGGACACTAAGAAAATAAAATGTAAATCATTTTTAGTAAGTGTCCACATGACACTTTGTTTTTGTGAACGGAGAGTAAAATAGAGTATCAATCAAATATCGCAAGGATCTTGGATACTTTCTCATCATCATGGATCCTTCCTCTTGGAAACACGGGTAAAAATCAGCATTTTTGGACCCCTTCTCCCCATGAGCGACCATACTCCTTTTCAATCTTTTGTTTTACTCTTTGATCAGAAATCTAAATTCATTCAGTATTAAATCATACGTATCAACAGAAAAAATATCTATCTTAAGCAGACAAACAGAAAAAGATTAAAATAAAGAAAAATGCTCAAGTTTATGGCACTGATCATCAAAGAGTTTTCATCCTTCAAAAAATTCAGTAGCCGGCCATACTTCATAATTTTCAATAAGTCAAACTGATTGCGCTGAATGACACATTTGCTCTTGTAACAAAAAACATACAAAGGTAGAACTTCAATAAACAACATCAATAAGCGCTCAGTAAATAACGAGGGCGACGAACTTCTTACTTATCGGATTAAACCAATGACAACGCTCTTCGATAAAATCGTACTCACAAAAGCGACATTTGACACGAAAGTTAAAGGCATAAAATAAAAATTTGAAAGTTACTTTTTCGGACTCGTTGAACTTTGAGCAACAACAAGAATGAGATAGCACTTGTGCTTATCTTTTCTATTATTTTAGTAATAAAAGAAAAAGACAAGGAGCAGTTACCTTTGTTTTATATCTTTCCTCGAACAAGTGTAACACGTATGTCAACTCCGATAAAACGAATAAAAGAGGTACTATCGCTGCTTGATCTTGAGAAATTAAGCTTTTTTTCACACGAGGAGTCGAAAAATCACGATCTTTCATTCTTGAGAGAACATCTGCCACAGCACCGACCAAACCGACCGGGGCCAAATCTTTAATTTCCTCGACTGAAGGGAGGATCATATGAAATAAAATGAGCTCGTATGTTTGCAAGCACGTGTTGAGTCACGTGCACACATATAAAGGCAATAGGGACTTTTGATAAAGTTTGATCAAAGGTAATCGAGGTCGAGGAATCCAAATGTGCAATTAGATTCTCAAAATTCGGTACTTCGTTTTTCCACTAAGAGAAAAGTTTTTTTGAGAATATAACAATTTTTTATAAAATCTGTTCAAAAGTAATTAGAAGCAAAGAATCCAAATCTGTCATCGCTGTTTCAAAATTTTGAATTTGATTTTTTTTCATTGAGAAAAGGTTTTTATACGAAAATAATGATTCTCCCTCGACAGAAAGTAGGGTCATACGGAAAAAATTAAATAAGTTTGTAAGTACGTGTGTATGTATGAAAGTATGTTTGTTCGCAGCCACGTGTACAGTTACGTGCCTCCATATATTTCTGAAGTATCGGATAAACTGTGTAAGATGACTACGCTTTTAGCTGTACCGACAGCCGAGCAGGTTTGTTTCCGATTATTCACTTATTCAATCAGGCTTTTCGGTGCTGCAATCTAAGCCAATCAAATTTCCCGTCATTTTGCTCTCGTCCGATCAGGTACTCCGCTGCTTAGATTCCAGCCAAACAGAAATTTTCGCTATCAGGGTGTTGTGCAGGCCGGCTTTCAACCCGTGGGTCCTCCGTTCATCTGATGTTGGAGATATGTAACTGTCGAGTAAATCCTTGTTTTGTGATCGGAAATGCAGTCTATAGGCTATTTCGCGTATGTGGGATTCGTCGTATCAGCTTTTCAGGCCAAATTTTTATCCAATCATATTTTTTCAAGTATAGCTTTGATCCAATCTGAGTTTTCATGTTTTGAGATGAGTCAGACAGGTAAGCTCACTCAGCGTGTCTCATCGCTCTTCGTATTATCTTTGTTAGAGTTGTGAAATCTGTTGCTTGTCCACACTATATCTCATTAGGTTCGACGCAGAGTATTGTATCTTTAGATATCCAGGTCGAAACGAACAGAGAAAAAACGCGTTCGGAACAGACGAATGAAAAATAAAACGAGTTTCGAACGATTCTATTGTGCTGTGATCCAGCAGACGAACATGTTACAAGCTACTCAAGTAGCTTGTAACATGTTCGTCTGTAGGAGTACAGTGCATTCGGATCACTCGGAACGCGTTTTAATTTTCGTTCGCCTATTCCGAACACGTTTTTGCTCCGTTCGCCTCGATCTGGGTAGTTTCAGAATAGCTCTAGTATTTTCAATTTGCAATCGAGAATCTCGTCATTGATAATCCAATAGTTGTGTGGAAGGGGACAAAAGGTTATTTGAGCAGGGTGTAATGAAAAGAGGATGATCTTTTCTTAAGATAGACTTAAACACAGGAGCGGCTAGACGTGAGTGGCGCCTAGAAGGGCACCAACGAACGACTACCCTCTAGCCTGGAAAGTTCACTACAGGTGCACTTTAGGAAAGATTTATATAAGATCCAGTGCGCTTTTGAGAATACCCCATTAAGATTCGGTTAAAGACCAATTACAAAATAATGCAGCGTTTCTAGAAAGACCACGAAGCCTTAGACATAAGAAATACCTTCCAACAAAGCGTTTTATTTGTAATTTTCTATCGAGAAATCTTCTGTTAAAAATCCAACAATTTATTCCAATAATCCGAATCCGAATCGGCTAGATTGTAGAAAAAGTGGATGATCTTTTGGGGAAGTAGACTTAAGCAGGTGAGCGGCTAGCTGTGAGTAGCGCGGACGAACGACGAGCCGCTGTTCTCAAAGATTCAAACAAGAAATGCTTCAGACAATTGTGATCTATAGAAAAATTCTCTAACGACTGAGTCCGATTGACTGAAACATTGTGCGAAAGTGGCGCAAAGCTGAAAAATCATTCTTCCAAAAGGTGTGGGTGTGCATGTGAGTGTGGGTGTAGGTGTGATGCTGTGGGTGCGTAAGTGTGGGGTGTGGGTTGGGTGTGGGCGTGCGCATAAGTCTTTTCTTGAGAAACATCCACAACCCATACCCACAGCCACAGCCATGTTCCACACTCACACCCACACCCACACCCACACCCACACTCACATCCACCCACACCCAATCGACTAGTCTTTTTACCCGTCCTTCGCTCGCCTGTGGAAGTAAATAGATCGTGACAAAAAGAGTAAATATATACTTAAAGGAAACCAAAAGTTCGTAGAACGGTATTTAAAGGACCTTGTCGGATAAGGTAACCTATTCAGAAATGAAAAACCAAATATACCTTGTTGTAGAGCTTTTTGAGGCTCGTTGAATGGTATATAGTAAATTTTGTTTTCATAAGACTTTGAAGGAACTAGAGTCAATTTACTGATCGACGACTACGCACCCACACTCATATCCACTCATACCCACACTGACAAGATGGCCGGAGATGCTACATATATGAGGTTGTAGCCCGTCAAAAACTCTACAAAATCGTATGTGAGAAAAAATATTTTACAAATACTTTCGACTAATCCCAAGGGCCACAATATTCAGTAACCTATCATACTTGGGTGAGGGTGTCAGTGTGGGTGCGTAGTTGTCTATCAGTTAATTGACTCTAGTTCCTTCAAAGTCTTATGAAAACAGGATTTACTATATACCATTCGACGCGCTTCAAAAAGCTGTACAACACGATGTATTTGATTTTTCATTTCTGAATAGGTTACCTTATCCGACAAGGTCCTTTAAACACAGTTCTACGAACTTTTGGTTTACCCTAAGTGTAATTTTAACAAAGTATATGTTGGACGAGCAGTTAATCATTGTACAAAACTAATACAGAATTTGTAGTCCTGTGGGTGAGCCATTAAAAACGTCGGGTGAAAAATAGCTTTTTTGACTCCTCTCTCCTCCAATCCACCGGACTGGTCAGGTTTCGGGTGATTCTCCTCTTCTGGGTGTCCATTATTAAAAGATTTTTTGAGAAGAACACGAACTTTTCTGGCCAACGGTAAATACCAAGCGAGAGACGACACATGGAAAAAAATAGTGAAAAGAGCGGTAGTAGTGGAACAGTAAGTTTTAACCATAAATATAGTGATTCAGAGGTAGATATGATTAATCGAGATCTTGATTTTGGCTTTTCCAGAGTGAGAAAAATGAGAAATAATTCAAGCCGGTCTATCGACTGGTCCGGCCCATTTTGACCAGTTTAGACTAGTACCGGTAAGGAAAAATCCTTGTCGGTTGCAAGTCTCACATACTCTTTCTGTTGAAAGCCTCAAAGTTTCAAAATACTATGACGATTACTGTCAGATTTTCTAGAGATCCTATGAAAAAAACAAAGTTTCATGGAAACGAATTTTCGACCCTGTCTATCAGAGATTGCAGCCCTTGCAAAATTGTGCATACCCTATAATTCTTCGCTTTCGATGACGCTTCGTTAATGAGATTGAGAGGTGTCAAATATCCATGCCTTGTCGATCTAACAGTCATTGTACGTAAGCCGCGACCGAATCCTGGAACGGGTATTCAATCGATAACTCTGATTTTATCCATTTTGATGCATGTTGTTGAGACCGAATTTAGATAATTTTTAGCACAAGCCGATTGAAAATATATTGAACCTTGATTTCATATGGAATTTCCACTGAAAGCCCACTTTTACGCTAACATCATCAGAGACTCTTTTGCGAATATCATGATGTTCAAAGATTCTCTCACTACTCTCGCGCAAAGAGCAAATGCCTATAGGATGTACGAGAAAAACGGCTTTCGCAAAGCCAAAATCTTTTTTTATGTTGAGCCTCCTCCTTCTCTCAGGAAGTTCGTGGGTACGTGCATGGTCGGAAAGAGCATTAAATTCTGGTTCCAACCCATAGTCTTTGACTCTGCTGAAATGCTTTCACATACACGAAAATGAGAAAACATTTTGTCTCAAAACTTTCGGATCATTCGTTAAAAGTAAGACTAACCGGATTGAATGTTAAATTTTGGCTTGATTTATCAGTCACTCTGGAACGATTCCGCTGTTGCATTATTAGCTGCTTTAAAAATCAACATTTTATACTGTTTCTTTTTCCTATAGACTTTTGATGTTCAACATCAGGAAGTGAACTTCAGTTTAACCTAGACGAACTAGCGAGCAGAACCTGTATTATAAACAGAAAACAGATAGATAATGCATTCCTAGACAATTTTACAACTTTCTATTTTTTCTGTATATCTATGACTTGATGCTTGAAATATTAATTTTCTCATCAAAGGCATCACTGATCATTTTGATTTTAACGCCATGTATTATTTATGTCTGCTAGTATCTGTACTCAGACTTTGGCATGTAATAGTACAAAGCGCTTGGAAATATTACATGAGACATTCCATTTTGGTACGAAGTGAAGAAAATGTAGCACAGTGTTTTGCTAAAATATCTTACATAATATCTTAAAATTCGTTGCATTTATATATCTGAAGACATAGGTATGGATACTAGAGATCTGCACGGAGTCGTTTTCGGAGTCGTCATCGGAGTCAATTAATTCTTTTGCTGAAAATTTAGTTTTAGCATAAGAAATTTTTTGACTTGCAGGTTTTGTTCGCAGATATTTAATGTATAAACTGACGTATTTTGAAGATTCCAATGACATGCTATCAAGGTCAATGGCGCTGAAAAGAAGTCGGAGTCGAAAAAATCGGAGTTGAATCTGACTCGGGCTTTTCTTCATGGTCATTGACCTTGATAACATGTCATTGGAATCTTCAAAATGCGTCAGTTTATACATTAAATATCTGCCAGCAAAACCTGCAAGTCAAAAAATTTCTTATGCTAAAACTAAATTTTCAGCAAAAGAATTAATTGACTCCGACGGCGACTCAGAAAACGACTCCGTGCAGGTCTCTATTCTATCCTGTACCTTTTCTTTTATACAAAAATACCCTTCCATACTGCTTTGTTGACGTGGTGTATTTACTCTTTAGTTCTCTGGCAAAATAGCTGAGAGACTGAACTTTTCATAATTTTGAAATTTTTGCTGATCTATCAGAAGATGTCGTAGTTGTGAATTAGATGTTTCCTACGAGCTGCAAGAGTTTTAGGGTATTTCAGGAAATTGAGAGGAGAATGTCTCTCCGTACTTTTCCACAGCAAAATCTTACAGAAGAACGAACGCTAACTAACTTCATTTTACAGTGAAACATTTTGTATCATGTACATATAATAGTCGAAGTTATATTTCAATTTGTAGACTGCAATGGAAATCAATGGAGCGGATGATAGTGGAGCGCAAGTGAAAAAACAAAAGAAAGAAGGAGACGAAAGCTGTGGCATTTATCCTTCAATAGTTGGTCTTGATTGTAAGCTTTTTCAATTATCGTCAGATAAATGTTTAACAGAAAATGATCAAGTTAAAGCTCTTGAACAGCTTAAATCATATTTGAACGTACAACAACAAAGCTTTATTGGTTATCAAATGAATGAAAACGTTTGTTATTCAAAAAAGCTTTCATTCATGCTCGATATCCATACAAATAATATAGGTGACCCATTTGAAAGTGGAAATTGTACAGTCAATACTAAAATCGTGGAACGAGCAGTACTTGATTATTTTGCAAAGTTATGGCACGCACAAACGCCTAGTTGTGCAAACAATAAAGAATCTTATTGGGGTTATGTACTGAGCATGGGAAGTACAGAAGGAAATCTATATGCTCTTTATAATGCTCGAGATTATCTTAAAGGTAAAGCTTTGTATCAAGAACCACATGGCGATTTACATTATGTAAGACCAGTGAAAAGAAATGTTTTTTCTGAACATGCTTATCATCCTGTAGCATTTTATTCTCAAGATACACATTATTCAATAACAAAAATAGTTCGAGCACTTGAAATTCGAACGTTTTATGAAATTGGTGAAAAAGAGTATAAAGGTCAATGTCCAATTCCTACACCAGATGGTCGGTGGCCAGCAGAAGTTCCATCTGAAAATGGTGATGAAGGTCCAGGCTCGATTGATGTCGATAAACTTATTCAATTAGTCGAGTTTTTTGCTCAAAAAGGGTCTCCACCATTGATTATACTTAACATAGGTACAACATTTAAAGGTGCATATGATAATGTTGAAGAAGTTAGCCTTCGTTTAATGCCTATATTGAAACAGTACAACCTTGATGAGCGTATGGTTGAGTATGCTCCTGGTAAATGGGATAAACGTACAGGCTATTGGATTCATGTTGACGGCGCATTGGGTGCATCATATTTACCATTTCTTGAAAAAGCAGGCAATCGTATACAAGGACATATTCCAAAATTTGATTTTTCTTTACCATTTGTTCATTCAATTTCCACTAGTGCACATAAATACCCCGGTTGTCCAATGCCTAGTGGTATTTTTATGACAAAACGTAAATATCAAATTGCGCCACCCGATGACCCTATATATATCGGTTCACCTGATACAACATTTGCTGGTTCACGTAATGCTATTTCGCCAGTCGCATTATGGTGTTATTACGCTAATACTAACGATGATTTGGAAATAGATAAAGCTATTAAAGTAGAAGATACAGCAAAATATGCAGAAACGAAATTAAAAGAATTAGATCAAGAATATGGATACAAATTATGGGTAGCTCGTACACCACTTTCGCTTACAATAAGATTTCGTAGTCCAGAAAATTATGGTCATGATATTATATTCAAATATAGTTTATCTAAAATGACATTGAAGATTAAGGATGAAAAAGAACCGAGAAAATACGTTCATATTTTTATTATGCAAAG